TATAATGTGACTGGAGGACGCCGAGGGCAACGTCGATGCATGTGAACGGAGTTCCAGTGACATCGTCAATGAGACCGCATGATTTCATCAGTTGATGAACTTTAAGTTGGGCGCAGGATGCGATAGCATGCGTAGTTAGAAGGAGTTGGATTGATTGACGCTTGGCAGAGTCCGTTTCGGGAGTGAGGGAGTAGTCCCGGAGGAGGGAAATGTGCGAGGGGATGGAGAGTTGGAAGCTTGAAACCATCTCGTTCAAGGCCAAACAGCCTTGGTAGGTCGTCTCGTAATCTGATTGGGGTGCTGAGCAGACAGAGAACAAACGTGCATTAGTCTCATTGACGGGAGACAGGGGATAAAACTTACTGTCTTCCGCTTTGGAGAGATAGCATACGGCCTTCTGGAGCATGATAGTCGCTTTGACGTACATTTCACGCTCTGAGCCACCGGAGTTGGAAGGTGGCATTCCGTTATCATTCGTCCAGAAATCCTTCAGCGTCCCGAGCGAAGCAGATTCGCTCTGTAGTATGTACGCCGAGATCAGAGAAATAAAGCGTCAGATTTCGGAGAATCCAACTCACCAGTTTCCACTTCTCCTTCTTTGATGGCCAGGGAGTTGTGATATCTCGGCAGCTGTCTAGATTGCCGAAAGCACACGAGGTTGGGTGGCGAACAATCAAGAGATGCCGTTGTAATGAAAAGACTGTCCAGAAAGCATTTATTCGTTCCTCGGATTCGGCGGCATCGTTGATAGGGGGCACAGGTATTCTCTCTCGTGATGATTGCGGACCGCAGTTGGGCGATAGGGGAGTCAGTTTGTGAAAACCTGACGATAGGCAGAGCGACACGGCCCCGTCGATGTGATAGTCCGAGTCTGTGAAGCGGTTCTTCCGCAAGAAGTACGTTGCAAGTAGGACCTTTGCTTGCAGTAGCTCGAGAACCTGTGTCGACGTGAGGTCTGTAGTCGTCTGCATCCCGACGTATGTAAGCGCGCGGCGAAGAAGTTCCGTCTCTCGGACGGACGTGGACGAATGCGTGCCGGACAAATGAGCTCCCCAAAGGACTACCACGGCTATGAGAGCAGTCGTCGTCGTGGGAGACTCCTTACACGAGTCTTGCCGAGCGACGGACGCTCTGAACCTATCAACGTCCTGGAAGAACCCGAATTGAGGCGCATGAGGGAGAAATATTTCTGTGCTACTCGAGAGAGTCAGCCTTGGCCACGAGTCAGATGGGAAGGAGGGGCTTACAGCATAAATTCATCCTCGGCATTAGGCCTTCCAAGATCCTGGATCGATGAAACATGTCAGAGTCGTGTAGCAAATACACCCGACTCAGCTTACCGATGTCACACAGAAAGAGGGTTCCCCAGGGTCTAGCGAATAAGTTAGCCGACGGTGGTCCGTGAATTATTCAACTCGATTACGCACCCAACGATGGGGAATAGTAAGGAGGTGGTGGGACTGGCGAGTTCCCATTACTACTGGAAGTCTCCCATAAGGTAGAGCTCGAAGGGGTCGTTGCGGCCGAAACAGAAAGACTGGAACTCTCGCTTGTAGGAGCTTGAACGAGTTTGATATTGCATTCCTCCAGTTCGCGGATGCGAGCCTGAAGTTCGGCGACATTTTGTTGAAGCAACAACGTTCTTGAGGGACCGTCGGTGTATTCACATGGATCGTCTTTCGGTACTCGTATACATTGCCCGCAAGTAGGCTTGATTCCGTCACATTTCTGGAGGGATCAATGGAGGTTGAGCGTAGGTAGCCTTTTGATCGATAATAGGACCTTACGATTTTCAAAAACCTTATGGAATTCAGGAGTTAATGACGATACTGAGGTAGTGCCTTTGGAACTCACCGGCAGTTCAAGCAAGCTTTTCCCCGTCTCAAATGCTTCGTGGGTTGTCTGAAAACATCTCTTCCTCGTCTCGATCGCTTGGTATCACAGTCGCTGGAAGTCATTTGAGGTTGGGTCCGGTTCGGAAGGCAAACAGCCTCTCTTATATCGAGCGGCCCCCTGTAAACATAAAGGGAAAGTCTGTACGATGTGGTCGGTGAACGTCGGCTATCCAATGATGTATTAGTGCTGAGAAGGTGGGAACGTGCCATCTTTGGTGCCATCAAGAGATTTTGGGCGCCCCTTGAATTCAATTTACGATCATCAAGTTGTCGGGATCTCCGTCCCTTTCTCGATTATAATATATTATTATTCTTGGACACAGTCTGGAGGACGGTCACTCTTTGTGGACCAAAATCATAGATGTACATACCTGGCTTGGCTTGTAAGATGCCAACAGTGAACCGGTACATTCGGACTCGAGAGGGGTATCACAAGGACCAAATCTTCTTGGAGAGATAAAGTTTCCGTCGCACGGGCTCGTTCGGTTATAGACTGAAAAACGCCATTTTTGGAGTCCAGCCGATTCAAAAGGCTTGGGGGGGCGTCCGCGCGCAAACAAATACTCATGACGCACAGGATTGACCCCCTTACTATTCAACGGACAATCTATACGAAAGAAAAACTTGAGGTATATGCGTTTATGCGTCCTTCCGCCGGATGCTACCGAGTTATCGAGGACTTGGCACAGGTTTCTCGAGAGCTGTTAAATACTTTCACGAAGAGACTCACGAAAGCGTAGCGGCGCAGCATCCACATAACAGTGTTCTCCTATCAACAAAACCCCAGAAGCTCAGCATATACACGAGATAGTCCAAATTGCGATGCCGAGGTGGAGACCGTCGGCCTGACCCTGAGCGCTGTACCAGGGTTCACAAGGTGACGGTCTTTTCTTTTCTGCATCGATCTTTATGAATTCTCCATATTCACAGCGCCCGTGGAGAGCAGACTAACGGAACGAAGGGGTCGGAGGTCAGTATGGTAAGTGTCGAGCGACGGATCGTGGAGAATTGTTGGGTGGCGGACGCAAACACCTGACCCCGCTCAGAATTCCCCGACGGACCGGCGGCCCTCTGAGCGCATAGAGGTTAGGGGACAACAGCTCCAACTGCGGAGCATTCGAAAGCAAAATGATCGAGGAAGCAAGGTTCAAAACACAGCGTAAGTAGGACTTCGACACCGCCACTGGATTGTTCTCAACAGCTTCGAGGTCGCAGCTCCGCGTCGTTGAGCGATCTCGTGTGCCAAGTCACTGTCCGGCGAGCTGCGGACGACGCAGTCAGCAACCTTCGAGGCTCGGACAGCCTAGCCATTGAGATAAAACCTCACATTTTTTGAATAATTATATTAGTTTGGTGCCACGAGTCCGACGCGGCATAGTCCGGCCCCTCCCCTCGTTATCTTTGCTGATTCAAACTGCTTGGAATCAGCCTAAAACCCATTCATCATCTAGTCTCCGCCGGGATAGAATCTGTCAAATGTCTGGGCTACTTGAAGGACACGAGTAATACTTCAAGGCCTCACCCTTGCGCAATGCGAACTAGAGGCCGGTCACTGTGCAAATCCTTCGTCATACACGGTCTGGGTTGACCTTGACACGGGGAACGAGTTGTACACATGTATATTCTCTTCTCATCAGCAGGGACAGTGTATGGCCCCATTCTCAAATTTCACATATCTTGAAACAAAACGGTAAGCTTGTGCCTAGGGATAATTTAATTTGGGCAGCAGGAGGCTCGGGATTCTTCATCGTGCCTTGGCGTGCGTGCCCTAGGACGTACTAACGAGAAGGGGAGCCGAAATATGCAGGACCGTTCTTGGATTTTACTGACGTCGCTGTCGACGTCTGCTCATTAATGCTCGCAGCTGCGTGAAGAAAGAATACTGCGTACACGACATCCACTCGCTGTGGCCTTGCCGTAGGGAAGATGAAATGAGGAAAACTCCCAAACTTGTCGCGAGGTTATCGAACGAATCTTGGAGAAAATGATGAAGCGAACTGCTCGCATGGTACTGGTACACCTTGGGGTCCTTGAAACACGAAGAGGCTGTGAAGGAGTCATGCCCACCTGTAGACCATACGCCACATACGTGGAGAGAACCTGCCAACTCCCATGAGCTCATACAAAATGCCACTTGAAGGAAGAAACGAGTAATTCCCCACCTTTGGGAACGAGGACCTGTAGGTAAAACCAAATGAACCATCAAAGAATTCATCATGAATGCGCACGCGGAACAACAGTCTATTCTTTCAGCCCTTCATACGAGGGGGGTATTCATACAGGCAATACATGAGCACCTAGGATCCCCCCTCGAAGTTGTCAGGACCCGAATATGGCCCCAAATTATTTCAAAACAAAGCAGTCAGTTAGTGCCTGGGTTTCATTCAAAGAGCAGGAAAAGGAAAAGCAGTATCATACCTAAGCCCACATGCCCTGAGACGTAAATAGTAAGAGACCATAGAAAAGATTTGCGAGTCCGAGGAGCCTTACCGGTGTGTGCGTCCCAAGGTCCCCGTTTGATAGTAAGAAAGCTCGTGCGCACCCTTGTAATTATCGAGGGTAGAAGCACTCGCAGCTTGATCAACGGACTTCCTAATGTGTTGTTCACTTAAGGGAAACCGTCGGTCGAATGTGGATGGTGGCAGTGATACAGCGGGGCTGGCCCTGAATTCTGGAGACCCGCTTGGGCTTGCGGAACTTGAGAAAACACGCGATCCCTTGGCCTGCATGCCTTTGGACGGATATATAAACGAGCGATAAGATTCGCAAATTCGAGTCCGAGGGCAGTGACGAATATACATGTTCCCTGCTTTTTGGAGCTCAAAACTTTGACATCCTCGATTATAGAAATTACCGCGGAGTAAGTCACTTGGATATTACTAGCTCTGTAGAAGCAGCCGGGAAATCATCGAATAAAATAATCGAGAATGTTCAAAGCTGTTCGCTTGGAGAAGGGTTGAGAGATATCGGTGCTGGTGGCAGTGGAAGTTGAAGCTGTAGAACCGGTCATCAGACCATTGGGACCCTAAGCGTCAAGCACGTGAAGCATGTAGCTTTCACAAGAGCTTCTAGCATTATATAAGCATAAATCACACCCCTTAACGTGGTCTAATAGTGTAGTGGTTATCACAATGGATTCTGATGTCGAACACACAGAAGTTCCATTAACCCAGGTTCGAGTCCTGGTTAGACCTTTTCTCTCGCCTCATTTCTCAACCATGGATAGGTATTCCCCCCTCCCCTGCCGCTGTGTTTTGGCTTATCTACATGGAGACTTCGGTGGTATGTAGTCTTATGTACTTCTACTTACTCTCCAGAGTCCAGACTAGATTCGTCACGCAGGTGTAGATAATTATTCCCAAACGGCCGCTAGCAAGGACTTGGCGCTTAGCTGCCATAGAGACAAATTCGATCGCGCGGGATGGTGGGGACTGGGTCCCAAAACATATGTGCGCTTGCAAAGAATCCGACAGTACTTACACCCGGAGCAGCTATTCTCGTTGTACCTTGAATGGGATAGGCTGGGTTTCAAAAACTAGCGAAATGCTAGGGCTGGAGCCTGCCGCGAAGCTCAAAACCGACGCGCCATGATTGGTTTCACGCTTCGTACATAGGCGACGTCGAATGTCGAGTCCAAACTTGACTGAATAGGCAGTTAGACATTTGAACGCCTTCCGAGGAGATTCTCTAAGCCACTACCAGTCTACATAACGACGCGTTCCGCTGTGTTCGCAACCGTATATGCCGGCCAAAGCAACGGGTCGGAATACGTGCTCCCTTGGTAACAAGGTCCCTAGAGGCTTGGTATCGGTTAGTGTGGAAAGTAGGTCCCGGATTCCGACATACTTAATCCATTGGGTTTGCCGAGCGGGAAATGCCGAGCGACCCTGGCGAACAAGCCTTCCCTTCAACTGGCTATTGAATATGTTGGAGATGAAAGCGTACAGCTCAAGGCCTCGTTAGTGCTTGTTTTTTATCAAGGGCATCACCGACAGCCACCATCGAGAAACAGAAAGCTGCGTGCATATACAGCACACACAACTGATACTGACAGGAACGGATCAAGTATCCCGGATGAATAAACCGAACCTGAATTTCGGGAGATGATCTATGATTTGGGCGCCGATCGCAGGCCACGAGAGGCCACGCCATTTCATGCGCCGTGGTTCCTCCACTGACCTAGCCTCGTCCGGAGCTGATTGTGAAAATCGTGAAGTTACTCCTTGAGTCAGAGCTAATTTCAGATCCAGCGATTAGCGAATATGACTCCATTCAGCGTGGCTCGGGCATGGCAGGTGGATGACATTTCTACATACTCATCAAGCCGGTGCCTATAATTTTTGACGAGTTATTCTAGTCTGCTTCCATTCCCTGTTTCAGGATTCGTGTGAATGCCTCTACAGCACGAAGAAGCAGCTTCACGGTTCCGGCAGTGAGCGGCTTGTATATAAAAAAGCTCATCGATACGTGAAAGGTGTTGTATCTATATGATTCGATGCCCAAATGATTGGCGGCTACTATGACAGATTAACCCCAGAAAGGATTAGTCTGGATTTATCCGCGACGCCAGTATGCCCTGCTGTATTCACCTTCGGCTAAGTAACGATGCTATGCTAGCATGAGGAGGCATTAAAATTTCCTTTACATTTCCCGTACGACCGTAGAGTATATGTACCTCACGGATCGCGTGTTTCCCTCCGAGTTCCCCCACCTTTCTTTTTCCCCATTCCAGTCTCTGGCCAGAATCTTGGCCTGTCCTCTCCACAACTAATACTTCCGCTGGCGGCGTCGAGTCTTTAGCTCATTCAATCACCAACCAACCGCTCTCCATATCCTATATTCCATCGACTCTACACCTCATCACAATGACCAGCTACGGAATGCCCTATTTCCTCGAAGACAAGACCGGCCGACTCTCTGGCACCGAATACGTCGACATTCATGACAGGTTACACTATCTGTACCGATGTACCGCCCGCTCGACGTCCCACTCGACATACATGATTTTCAGCGCCAGCTCACCATCGGAACCCCTGATGGCTTTGAACTTCGGTCCAAAAAACGCGTTGGGAAGCGTGTCTTTCTCCTCTCAGGCTTGTTATCCTATGCACCAATATCTTGCAAAGGTGTCGACGCCGTCGGGAAGGTATGAGGTACCTTCATATTGTGATCGACGTGTGGCGTACTGACCATCTCCCTCGTAGAGCGTGGAAGTTTGTCGCTAGGGATGGCCAGGAATATCTTTGGAGGTGGAGGTCGCAGGCGAATCAAGAGTGGACGGTAAGAATTTCGGACGTCCTCGTTTTGCGATGGAGAAGACTAATTTCGTCCACCTCTAGTGCACAAATCCTCAAGGCTATTTGATAGCTTACTACAGCTTGCAAACTCCCGGAGAGCCCCAGTACCACGAGTCGTCGGGGTGCTCCCTGACCATTGAGGAACCCTTCCCTCATCTCGCTCCAGGTGAGTTCACGAATACCCTCAACGTCTTGCATGCTTACTGACTCTCGATCACAGAAATGCTGGGCACTCTGATGGTGTTGCGACACATGGTCGAGTACAAAATTTGACCGTAACCCCAAGGCCCAGGCCTATGTACACTCTTCTCCATCGATTGTGCGACATCTATCTTGAAATTATGGCACTTGACCGTCCATCGGGGCATGGTTGCCTCACGCTTGTGTAAATATCACATTCTGTACATATAGTCATTATGCATAAGTATCGTATTGTAGGTAGGGTAATCACTACACCTGTATGATAGTATTCATATCGTAGGGTTCTGGATATTCTAATATAGTTCCTCTTTTTACTACGTTCTTCCGAGCTATCGCAATGAGTAGAGTTCCAGCCGGTGGCAATTGCGGTATATGGCCCCGCGTCGGCCAGTCTAAATTCGCACGGACCGGAGTTCCCGCCGGCAAATCATGTTCAACCTCTACGATGACGAGTCCCAACGCAATCTCGCTCTGTCCGCTTCTGTGATAGCAGTTCTCCCAGTTGTCTACTATCTCTATCGCAAAGTCACCAACAACACCACAGTGACCTCTACAACGAGTAGCAACTCTACAGCAGCATCCCTAGCTGCTCAAGGACAGACCTCAAGCGACCAGAAAAAAGAAACAAAATCGATAATGCAGCCAGCAAGGACGGATTTGACACCGCCAAAGGATGATCCTTTCACGCAGGAACATCTGAAGGAATTTGACGGCAGCGATCCCTCTAAACCCATTTATGTTTCAATTAAGGGTGAGTTGTACACGTTTTTGTGATAATTAACGACCTGCTTATGACCTTGCTGCGATCTTAGGGACTGTATTCGACGTGACGCACAAGAAGGATGTGTATGGTCCAGGGAAGTCATACAACATCTTCGCGGGAAAGGATGGGTCGAGAGGATTGGGCTTGTCTAGTCTGAAGACGGAAGACGCGGTGCCAGATTACAGTGTTCTTGACGAGAAGGATATGAAGACCTTGAACGACTGGCACGAGTTCTTCAAGTGAGTCTTCATTTCGTTTTGGCACTTCATACCCGGAAATAGATGTCTCTTGCTATCTCTTGTCCCGTTCATGTGGCTTTTACTCATACTGCACGTTGTTTTCTTCATTCAGGAAGCGCTACAACATTGTCGGGCGTGTCACCGATCTTCCTGCTGCGGTCGCTGACAGAATACCGCCAAACTTGTGAATTATCTCGCCTTCACCTCGCCTGGCCCTCCGACAAACCCTTGTGTTTGATTATCGTTTGTAATCTATTGGTTTTCCTAACTATATCTCGAATCTATGCGAAGATGCGTCTATCACCCTCGGTTCTCTGATATCTGCTATCACGCCGCACACGAAGCAGCCTCGTTTCTTCATCTCGCTCGACGTGAGCGTCTTTTCCTCATGGCCAACGCCTTCCTCATTTCAGATCGTTCCTCTTCCGCGCCTCGCTGTTGCAGTGATAGACGCGAAATTAGCTGTGAACAGGGAGAAGGTACTTCCTTTGAAGGGTCGAGTTTGTTCCTCGTCAACAGCTAGCTTGGGAAGTATTTCGCTTGTGGAGTAAGGTGGCCTTGACGTTCCCCGTGGGGCCTTGCGAATGCCACAAGCGATGGTGCCATGCTCGTGCAATGTCACAGCGATGACCGCACCGTTGTGTCGGTCGAGTTGTCACTCGCCCCATCACTTTCCCCCACCCTGATTGACCTGGTCCGAGGTTGATTCGCCGCATCGTCCGTGGACCGGCAATGACATGGGAAAGACCTCGCAATCTATTTAGCTCGGGGTATCGGCCGCATACACACTCATGGGCCTCTCAATTTAGTCTTCCTAATCCTTTGCCACAAGCATGAGGCATTTTAGGAAGGTATACATTTTCGGATGTGGCAGAGAATGACCACATGCTTGTATCCTCTGGGTGGCGGCGCTTTGGCCTCAACTTGGGACCCTCGATGCCACAGGCTCCTATCGGTTTTGCTTTGGCCTTCCAGCCGACTATTAAAGTCAGCTGCGGAGGAGAAGGCTTCGTACCAGCAGCACCAGAGAAGAACCTCCACCCTAGTCCACATGGTAAGCCCTCTCGGTGGTCCTTGCACTCAATGCCAATACTGAATTCACCTCGTTAGATTCCAACATCCGACTTCCGCCCCGCCTGTTTTGCCGATGAGTTGGAGGAGATGACCACTCGTCTCCATGAAACCAGAGCACGGTGGACCAAGAAGATGGATCTCCTTTTCTCCGCGGTATGTTCGAATTCCCCTTTTCCGATTTCGGACTCTCACAATATCAACTCAACTCCTTCAATTCTCTTCAGTGTGGAATGTGTGCTGTGATCCTGACCTGGACGGCTGTCTCGATCATGGACCCTAGAACGTAAGCCCCATTCATCGGTTTGAATAGAAGTACTGTAAAGTTCTGATCACCCTCTCCGTTCGCTTGATAGGACCCTACTCGCTACGACCTCGATACCTCCTTCTCCTCGAGTCATTTATATCCCGACGACCCTTCTCGGCCTTGGCATACTGTATCTCCTCCGAAAGGTGGCTCTAGACCGAATCGACGATTGTCTACTCGTCGGTTTCTCTGTTGTGGAGAGGGACGATGCCGCTATTCTCTACCATCGCGACGCAGCGGTCCCAATCATAGTTGCACCGATTCCCTGGCGTTTCGACGCAACGCAGATGGTTTGGAATGTTCTCTGCATTCAATA